CCCAAGTAAAGGAGACCGTCTCACTGTGGATACCACCGAGAACCTGCTGCACCAGAACGTGGAGATCACCCTTCAGGACTGCCATCACATCAAGGCGACCACTTCACTTCCCTGCATGGACTTTCCATCTCAACAGCAAGTATTACCAACTTAGACTGAAGACTGTTGAAGTGTTGTTGCTGCCACCTTGTGGGGAATTCATTTAAGTACGCTCCTACTGATGTCCATTAGAACTCTGTATATGCTCAGCCTGAAGCTGTTACCATCTGCAATTACTCACACTCTGTGATAAGGCCATCTCCTGTACAAATTGTAGTGGACTGTCGTATTCTCTCGCATACTAGGTTAAAACTACGTTCGACCTCCTAGTGAAGTAACTAAGGCGAACTACAAACCACACCACGGCCCAATGCCTTACAATTGAGCCGTGTATTACAGTTCAAACCACTCCCATTACTCCCACTATAGATGGCATATGATGTGTAAGAGGTTCCGTCTTCACTCCCTGTAATCAAAGTGTAATCGGGAACCTCCCACCTGAGCCATTTCAACTTAACCTCCGCAGCTGTGATCCTACACACCAAGTTACGCTTGTACGATTCATTACAGGCGGGTGCAATAGCTAGTTTGCTATTGGCTATTGCAAAGTGAAATAGCCAATAGGAATCTAGCTATGCATTCCTATACTGTTTTTTTCTTCTTTTTTTCTGACTGCCGGCGGCTCCAATGTCAGAAAAAAAAAAACCAGAGCAGGGAAAGTTCAATCGAGCAGAGTAAACCTTTCCGGAAGAAAGTGCTTCTCTCCCGGGGCGGCCGGGAGCCGCTATCTAATATCGGGAGACTCCTGGAGCGTCCGGGAAAGTTGGGATGTCTTTAGGCGACCCCTGGCAAATCGTCAATCGACCCCTGACGGGGTCACGACCCACAGGTTGAGAACCGCTGATCGAGATGATTAAAGTGCATCTTAGCCAATAAATAAAAATTTTATATTTTGTAGCTTACCATTCCTTAGATGAGGTGACTGTTTTAGTTAGCTTTTTCAGGCTTTTCCCCCCTTTTGTTTAACCTGATGATCCTGCCAGCAGCACACATCTTGTCCTATAGTGACAATGCTCATTTACCTTTCTGTATTAATGGAGGAGCAGTGTGTCACTCTAGGATGAGACTATCCACTCCTCTTCTCCATAGCAGAAAGGAGTTGTTTAGTCTACATAGATGAGCTCACATGATTCTAGCATGATCAACAGTTTTACGTTTTTTTTTTTACACTAATAGATATAACAAAATACTTTCAATGGTAAATTTACAAGACTAAAAGAGACCAAATAAAAGAAGTTCATTGTTAGGGTTTATATGCACTGCAAGAGTAGACCTCACTATATCTGCTCATTTCACATATTACTTATTTTAATTGACAGCATTGCAAAGACTGTGGGAAGTAGGTAAAATGTTTAACTCAAGTACAGATCCAATTGCCATAGTCCCCTGAGAGGTGTTAGAACCCAATAGGGAAGCTATATTTCAATTTGAATCATACATTTCTAGAACCCGTTTACGGTTAGTTAGGTGTATTTAGGATCACTGTCTTTCTTGAAATAGCCAAGCTCTTTTTAGCTTCAGCGTCTTTTCTGAATGTAGTATATTAGCCTCCAGGATATGTTGATACATACTAGAATCCATTCTTACCTATACACACACAATATTTTCACAGCCATATACCATAACAAATCCACCCCCATGCTTAACACTTGGGATAGTGTAAGATCATAGTGACTTAAATGACTACAAGAATACATGAGGATTTCAATGTGGCAATTCACTTATGCAATCAATGGAGAAACATCAACTGCTAGAAGCAGGCAGCACTTACGGAATCGATGGGGAAAAATCAGCTGCTAGAGGCAGTACCTGCATGAGTTTAGTCCCACTCATCCCACAATGGTCTCTGTTTCTAGAATGCATATCTAAGATAAATCCTGGTATGCCTGCCTTGTTCTCAGTCCTTCTCAGTCCAGTAGTAGATGAACTAGTGTACGGGCTGCCCTGCTTTTAGCAATTTGCGGTGCAGGAGAGCATTGCAATTATGGAGTACAAAAGATATTACAGCTATCACTGCAGACAGCCTATCAGATAGGCAGCTAGAAGGAGGAAAACATAACTATTCTTAGCTTAGACCTTGACATGAATTATCTTTATGTTTAGGAAATTGCCAACATATTCATAGCTCCGAGCAGCATGTAGATTAAACGCATAGTCATAGTGCCAATGTACAGCAGCAAAAAAAATGTTGTGGCTCTTGTAATTAACTGTTCCTGAAATATTTTTATTCCAGGTCTCCGAGGTACACATTATCTCAAACAGCGAACTGCTAAGATAACAGAGCACACGTGTTATGAATAACATATACGGCTCTCTGTTTAAATAGCCAAGGATAGAATCATTAAGTATATTCTGGAGAAAGAAGAAAATGGAAACAGGACATTGAAACAATGAGCAGTAGCCATATGCAATTTGCTGCAGGACAGGTATTTAAAGCTAATCTCCGGGCAAACAGCTAAATACACAGCTGAAATAGATATAATGGAGGTTTTTTCCATGCCAAATAATTTGCAGTCATAATATCTACACAGTCATGTCACACAGCACAGCCAGGTTGGTGACCTCTACTATTATTATGGCATAGAGTTTGATCACTGCCTTGTCATTGAAGGGTAGAACGAAAACTTTGATTTACCAAACAAAAGTGCACCGCTCTTACTTCTATTACATACAGTATGTTACACTATAAGTGTTATATGCAATAGTTATAAAGTGCAAACCATCCTTCCCAGGCTTGATCATAAGTATAGAGTATTTGTAGTGTTGGTAGTTTTAAAGGGTAAATGACACATCATGAAAAATAATCAGCTTACATGATCTGATCGTATATGATCTGAATATTGTTGCTGTTATGGTTTAACTAGAAATATAGTTGCTCTTTATTTACATTTATGCAGCCTGATCTTATTTGCTTAAAGCCAAACAATAAATTTGCACCTGCATATCTCTTTTAATGTTCCTCTCATTTTAATTTTTATATATCTAGTTAGTGCACATTAGGTGTTGAAAATAAAACCAATCACTGATTCTAGTGCAGGCTAGAAAATTAAAATTACAACCGTATTCAAGCTATTGATAACCCTAATCTTAACTTGACAGTATTTGCATTGATATGATCTAAATTTAACCCAAACCTCCCTCTCTCCCTCTAGAGCATGTTTCAACATTGCTTTTTTTCACCTTTTTTCCTGTAGTGAGAAACATTTTTATATTCCTACGTATCATCACCACGCTTGTAAAATTCTTGCAGGGTAGCTGCTGGGAGGAGGGGTCAGCTGAGTGCCCTATGTTACTTTCTATTGATGTAGGCATTCCCCCCAGAACCACATCTCCCATGAGCCCTTTCCCTACACAGTATACAGGCAGGATCTTGGGAGTCAAGGCAGTGGCATTGTTTTGTTCGAAGATTTACTAATGTTTGTATGCATTTGCATAGGGACAGAGAGGGTCGGGTAACAGCAGAGTTCTATAGTCCGACAGAAGAACTCACATAGGGCTGAAAACACTGCTTGGAATATCAGTCCAGTAGCGGCATCAATGTCAGCTGACTACAGAAAGTTAGGCACTCACTGTATTTCTGCCAGGAATACCAGATATCTTTTCTTGCTTTTTAAAGGGGTAAAACATGAGGAAATGTGTATGTATTGCAGATATGTTTTTTCTTTATTTTGAGCAATTTAATAAATTGTCTCTTGTTAGTGAAGAACAAGCAAGTAAATGTGTATGCAAAATAAGCCTCAATCTTTCTTCAAATTATGGTATAAGAATAATAAGTTAACCATATTGAAGAATTAACACAATCTAAGGGTACAGCAATAAAATGGTGATAACTTTACAACTGAGGGGTAATTTCACTATGGAGTCTCCCTGAAATATAAAAACCAATATGTGATTCTATCTAGCAAGGGCCAGCGATAACTGAAATCAGCCTTTCATAAGTAGGAACACTACAAATATTTCAGATATACTTTATATTCATAATGGGAATCTAATTCTGGTATTGGAATTACTACCCAGCTATCAGTTGTTTTAGATTTTTAGGTCATACAGATATTTTTTCATTTGTTCTGCAGGGTCTACTTATCAGATTTCACTCACCGTAAGAATATCATATTCTCCTGCTGCAGAAGACTTTTTGGAAGAAACCACTCCGGTTTTGGGTTCAATGAAGAACTTGCCATGCTCATCTCCATCCTCAATACTGTAAGAAATTTCTGCATTGGGACCGTCGTCCTTATCAACAGCAATAACTCTGTATATGGGATCCCTCTTGGTGTTTTTATCGCGATCAATTTTTTCACGCTCGGGAAGTTGGATCTTGTAAAATTTTTGGAGGAACTGAGGCTTGTTGTCATTTTCATCCAGCACCTTTACAATGACCCGGCACACAGTGGACTTTAGAGGGTATCCATTGTCTGTAATGATAACCTGTCACAAAGCAACACATATTTTGTTAAATCTCTTTAGGCAACTCTTGCAAAGAAAAGCAGAGGTATTAAACATTTCCAAAACACTCCTGAACAAAATGCTCATTTGAAAGTCTTCTTAAATGAATACATAGTTTGGAAAACAAGCACAGCATGAAATAACTCTTCAGGAAAGAACAGAATTTATTATTCTTACAAGCAGCTAAACATTTAATCACTTGCCGAAAAAGCAAACAAATCTGTATAGAGATTTAAGTGATTGGTTGTTCAAAAAGCCTTAATCTCTGAATATTTGTCACAGCCAGCTGATACTTGTCAGCGAAAGCTGCGTTTCGTCAGGTTCTGTTTGTAAAAAACAAAGGCATACGCTACTTCTTGTGTTTTGTCATTAGCAACTCAAACCCTGCCAATTGCTTGCCATTTGGTAACTGCCACTTCACATGAAATTGTAACACCAGCTGACAAAATGATACATTAAGGTTTAACATTACATGCCCATGAATGATGCTCATTTCTCACTGGGGTGAAAAGTTTGACTTTTTTTAAAAAAGAACCTGAAACACAGTCCAGGTAGATACTGATAAAGAAGGGGCAGTCTGGAGTAATTATGTGTTTCTAGGCATCATGAAACACCATGAAGGGTCAATATCTCTCTCTTTCAAAGTTTTTATTCGTTTTTTTAGTTTCGTATGTCTACAAATTCTGTTACATTAGAAGACATGTGCCACACAACATTCCATCTGGTGCTATTAAACATCAGATTGATATCCCCCTTATCTCTTCGAGCAACCTCCTAATAACCTCGATCACAATTTAACCATTTACTTTATTGCCTATCTACCTTAAAGGCAGATAAGCCCTTTCATTGCTTCCCAAAGCTAGTGGGTCACCTCATTAACTCATTATGTCAGCACATGACATTTCCCTATGTTGATTTTAAATGTATATCCCCCCGAAGGGGGGCAAGACACTAGACCTACAAATAATATTAATAGACCCAATAACAAAAGCATGAATAACAAAAAATAAAAATAAAATTATACAAAATTACAGACTCCCGAGCTCCAATCCAGCAAAACTGTGTTTAGCCTGGGCAAGATAATCATGCTCAACATGGGCTCGAGATTGCCTGCCTCAACCAAGATTCCCATACCGCTTCAAATTGAGCATATCTATCTTGCAGAATACTAGATAATTTCTCATGGATCATTATCCAATTTATTTTAGACAATACCAAAGAGAATGGAACAGTTTCGGTTTTCCAAGCCAGAGCAATTGAAGTCTTAACCGCTAGGAAAAATAAGGATAAGAATTTGCCCAGTGTTTTCGGGATCCCCGGGATTGGTCTATTTAATAAGAAGTACTGCGTGTCTCTCGGGACATGAATCCCGAGGATCCGGTACAGCAGGGGAAAAAGCTTATTCCATAAGGGACACAATTTTGGACAATGCCACCAAACATGAAGCATCGAGCCCTGTTGTTTACATCCTCTAAAACACAAAGAACTAGTTTCTGGGAACATAGATGCTAGCCTGGTCGGTACTAAATACCAACGGGAGACAACTTTATAGTTTGCCTCGAGTAGAGATGCATTAAGCAAGCCCAAGGTTAAACGAGTGGTAAATTGTTGCCACTCATCCATAGATAGTGGTGTACCTAATTCCGTTTCCCATGCAGTCATATATGCTAAGGTCAATATCTCTCACTGTAATAGTTGTTTAAATCTAGCTGCATTTTATTCTGATATGTGAAAAATAGAAACGGAGGCATGGAAAGAACATTGGTCTGTTTCCCCATCTACCTTTCTGTGTATAGTAAGAACGTCAAACCCTACATCTACTGTATTGGCAATGAGAAACTGTAAAAGCTAGACTGCTTTATGTTTTTTTTTTCTTTAGTGCTTATTAAAATGATTTTGTCTGCTTATTGATGACAAATTGATATATCAAGGAAGCTTTGTTCACAAGAATGAAAAAAATATACATTAATTTCACAGCTGACACATCAAAGCTGGTAATCATAAAGAAAAAAAGAAACACACAAGAGACATGTTTCCAAAACCACTGCACGGCTTAATTTTAACACTGCAAATATGTTTACAAATAATTTAAAATATATCTTAAGCCAAAACTTTTTTTCATTTTTGAAAAGAATAAGGAATGGTTAGAACTCCTGTATTTTTTTTCCTGCTATCTGTGTCCCATTGGGGAGGTACCCCTTCACATCCTGTCCCAAAGATGCAACAGGAAGCGAGAGGAATCTCTTCAAAATGTCCTCTTAGATAACGTGAAGGAAACACCCTCTTTCCCATTAAAATATTTCCCTTTTATTACTTCACTTTTAGCCCCACTGACAATGGTCACCTCACCATGACAACTTGAGAGCATAAAGGTCCCTATCGGGGCCACAAGTAGCAATAAAAAACTGATAGGGATTTCCAAAATGTTCACCGCTAAAAGTTTTGGCTCTAGATATACCTTAACACAAAATAGGTTGTCTTAAAAATAGTGCATTCTTGACTCAGTAACAAATGGAAAGGCTCACATAATTTCACAGAATCATCACTTCATTAAAATTAGCAGATTGTTGCACCAGAAATGTTATAAAAAGTTAATTAATTAGGCTGACAAACAGAAGCTCTACCTTGCATAGCAAACCCCCATGCTCATAACCTAAGAAATCGGATGAGTTTTCAGAAATATTCGGAATGCTGCAGTTTGGGCATCAAGACTTATAAATGTTGGTGCTATCAGGTGTTCACTACTTTGTTAACCAGCCAGTGTTCTCTGCGCCCTTCCTTGGTTTTTTGAATATTCACAATCCACAGGTTCTCCTCCTGTTTCCCAGGGCTGCACACACGCCTCTAAGCTAATTTGTTGCCCATCCGAGAGCGCTGTTTATATGTTTTTTCTTTTTTTGCTATCAGGTGGAAGCAATGCACCAAGATGAGTAATTGTTTTACAATTGTTCCTAGATTGGTTTAGAATGAAGTAAACAATAGGAAAATAACTGACAAGAAAAATTAAAGAAAGGTACAGGCAACCATAACAGCCAAATAGAACTTAGTGTCTTCTGATCTGACTTTAGTAAGCTGAAACCAAATTAGCTGCACTTTGGACATGATCCTGTTTTCTCTGCCTTGCCTTAGGGTCACTATAACAAAGGAACAAAAATAATATTTAATCATATGAAGACAGAATGTCCACCAGGAGGCTTGCACATACAGTAAATGGGTTTGTATTCTGATCCCATAAAAGAGCTCATATCTTAGCCACATGGTGCTTACATGTAAAGACCCTTGTTTAAAAGAGAACTTCTTCAAATGTAAGAGATCAATGTGATCCCAAATATGCTTGGTCAAGTTACAAAAAAGGTATGCAGTAACTATTAAACCACAGTCCATGCATTCCTATTAAATAAACATTAACATCTGCACTAATCCGAAAAGCATTGTGATACTTCCGTTAAAAATGTTGGACACCATCAGGAAGCGTATTTTTCCTGAAGTGTAAAAGATAATTGTTGTTCAAGGGTGTCATTTTATTTCTAAAAGTGGTACTTCTCTGCCTTATTGAAAAAGACAGTGATCAAAGCTCTTTATCTAATGATCTGATATAAGCAAATGATACACTATACCATGTAACTACTGGAACTCTTGACACTCCTTTGAAAATGTAAAATTTTCTGTTATTTTAACAAGATAAGATGGATGGACTGAAATTTTTTTTGCCTAATTTAAATCTCTATATCACTATTTCCATAAATAGTTTTTTTATTACTATTATTAATTAATTAAATCAATCAAATAAAGTACTGATATTAACTGGAAGATCATTGACCAGTGAGGACAAAAAAATATATAAAGAGATTTCCTTCTAGTAAACTACAGCTGGACAGAGAAATGGAAGAACTTTGTCCTAATTGAGGCCACCTTAGGAAGGAAGGAGGGTCTAGGCCTCAAAATCTTATACCACCTTATACTTGGTAAGATCTGAAAGGATACAGGACAGGTCTGCCAGCTCAGCAACACATGCCTCGAAGAGGTGGCAACAAGGAACACCCCTTGATAGAGAGGATGGAAAGACGAATATTCCTCCTAGGTTCAAAAGGCAGCTTTTGAAGTGCCAACAGAACCATACTCAAATCCCACAGCATCACAAGTGGTTGCACAGGAGAGCTACATGAGAAACACCCTTTCTGCTAAAAGTCTTTACCAACAACTGGGATACTAGCGGGCTTTGGAATAAGATTGCCAATGCAGAGATTTGCCCTTTGATGGTACTCAGGAACAAATATTGATCCAGGCCTGCTTTCAAAAAGGTAGGGATTTTTCTACTGGAAAATTTCCTGGATTGAATAGAAGCATTCTATTTGCAATACTAGACCTTGTGGGAGGTGGACTTCCTAGTCTTTAAGAGTGGGAATTAACGAGACCCCTGTCTCTCAGTACTTGGGCTTCAACAGCCATGCCGTTGAAGGCAGCAACTGTGAAGAGGGACTTGGAATAGGCGATCCAGCCCAGGGTGTGGTTGCCAGAAGTTTTATAAAGTCAGAGTATCACATCTGCTTGAGCTAGTTCGTAGCTATGAGAATCACCGTATTGTCCCCTATGACGATCTTGCAAAATAGACGAGAAAGGCATTAATCAGGCTGTACTGATCCCTTGGGGTCAGCAAAAGATCAACTACTTCTGCTAGAGTATCTCTGCACCTGGAGACAAAACTATCCAGTTTTTTGTTAAACCTTGAGGCCGGCAGGTCCGCATTCGGTGTCGCTCAGCTGCAATATAGGTCCTGAAACATTTCCAGACAAGGCTTTCACGTGCAGTTCTGCTCAGACTAGAATAATTTCTTAATCCTTTGCCAAAGCACGACTTCTGATTTAAGGCCTAGACTTATTCTGCTGGGGTAGATGAGTACTCTTACCACCAATTAAACCCTTTGATGGTTGATGTGTGGTCTGCTGTGACACTGTCCGACTGAATCCTAGTTAGATTACCAT